ACTAAGTCGGCGACGGGCAGCCACGAAGGTCATCAGTTCTCACTTCAGGCCAGGACCATCCGGCCCGGAGGACCAGAAAATGTTGGCGACGCTTTCGTTCGAATCTCCTTTCATGGTGTGGACTGTATTTAATCGCGCATCGCACAACATTTGGTTGTTTGGTGACCGAGATCCAGGAGGAAAATGGTTTAATTGGAAAATTGGAAAAATAAATGTTATAACCTATCACGTTAGCCTAGTTAAGATACAACTAAATATTGGATACAGGATAGAGCGCCGGATGCCGACGACTAAGGAACCTCCTTCTTAGGAAGTATATTTGGACCTAATAAAAGAGCGCCGGATACCGACGGCAAAGGAACCCCCTTCTTAGGGCGTATGTTAGGGCCTAAATAAGAGAGCGCCGGATACCGACGTCAAAGGAACCCCCTTCTTAGGGAGTATGTTAGGGCCTAAAATAAGAGAGCGCCGGATACCGACGACAAAGGAACCCCCTTCTCTGGGCGTATGTTAGGGCCTAAATATAGAGCGCCGGATGCCGACGACAAAGGAACCCCCTTCTTAGAGAGTTTTAGGAATGTTTTAGGATAAAAAAGGATAGTCAGTAGACCTGGTCACCGGAACCGATACGCCTGCCGCATCTCCGTCGAATATCTCATCTGTGTGTAGACCGCGCACTGTTTCACTTCTCACTCGGGCTTCTCACACACTTTGTCTTCTAGTTCACTATATTTGGCGGACAAGGCAGCGAAACGTACCGGGAAGAGAGCTAGGGGCAGCGCAGTGTCCCCGTCGAAGTCGAAAGGTGAAGTGAGGGCCGGGGGTGTTTACAACTAGTTTATATACGGCGACAGGGGGTGAAACAAGACGCGTTGAGGACGGTCAGAGCACACAGAAAAGGCTAAAAATGGCCCTGGCGTCCAGCGCTCCACCCGGAAGACACACAAGCTGGGCGCGCACGTGCGTGCCCCACACAATGGCCCGGACCTGGGCCGGTCCTACGCAAATAGGGAGCCGCCCTGCTGCGCCGGCCGGCCAGCCGGGTCAGAGGGGACGCCAGCGTCCCGCGACCGCGGACGGCGCTCGGCTCGGCGGCGCGGCGGCGGTTCGGCTCAGCAGCGCTGAGTCTCTCGCCCGTACCGCCTTGCATAGGTGCAATTTGTCGGCAACATCGGTGTTAGATCGGAGGCGGCACGGGGGCGGCTCGGAGATGGCACCGTGGCGGCCCGGAGGCGTCTCGGTACTCCTCACATCCGCCGAGAGGGAGCCCGCTCTCCTGGCGCCGATGGGAGAGCGCCACTACTGGGGAGAGGAGACCTTGACCCCGGGGACCGGCGCGGCCCGTCCGGCCGTCCGTCCCACCGGCAGCCCTAATGGCCCGTATTGTGCACGCACCGGCTGTGATTAATGTCGCTGATAGCGGGCCGGCGCGGCGGCCGACTCTCCGCCGCAACAATCCGGCCGGATTAGGGGCGCACGGGACCCATCGCGATCATCTGCCGCCGTTCCCGCCGGCCCGGGACGGCGCCGGTTCCCGGGCCACAATGCGGCGACACGCGCTCACAATGCTGCCCGCCGGGCGGCCGCTGCTCCCCGTCGGCAGCCGGTTCACGGTCCGGCGGAGTGATGATGGTTTCAGATGTGGCTAAAAACACGGCTGTCCGAGGCTCCCGATCAGACTACCGAGCCGAGAAGCACCAGGGAACGCGCGCTGCTCCGGTCCAGAGTACAGACAGGCAGCGGCATCGCCTGGAGCCGTTTTGACCTGGACACCGACAGGAATTCTCACATCAAGCTGCTCGCATTCCTTACCCGGGTATACGACCTTTGACCTCGATCGCCTCAGGGCACAGACCGTGCAGCGTTCGCTGCAGGAACACCTGGCCCGAGCGTTACCTGCGCGCCGGCAGACGAGACGCGGCACCACCGGAAACAGCCACTTCCGGTCCGTCAAAATGGCCGCAATTAGCGGTGTGACGGCGGCCGGCGGTGGCGTCCGCCGGTGTGAAGAAGCGTTCCCACGAGTGCCGCCTCAAGGACGGTCGTCCTCCACTCGGCTGGAAACAGCCGCAGGTTCGGCCAGCTGCCGCGTCCTGCCACAGCCCAGGGGCGGCGTATGGCATACCTTTGAGAATGCACGGGGGAACTGGTAGGCGAGGACATGCCTGACTGGTGGTACTGAGTCCAGCCGCTCATTCAGCCGTCCACAGTGAGGTTAGATAACTAAGACGAACAACAAGGCTCTTCATCAATAATATGTCCCCGCTAGTGGATTGCAGGTAATCGATAAAGGACAAAAGCAGGCCGCTATCTATTCCTCTATGACATTCCCATCACAGGTAGGAGACGCGTCTGACCTCTGTGAAATATAGATACGGTTCCACTGTCCGGACAGGACCGGCATTCGATATGAATACGATGCAGACGATAGACGCCTCGGCTATGAATAACGGATGATAGGGGCGAGCAAGACGTAATTAAACTGCTGGCCAGGCCAGTCAGGATATTCGGTCTGGAATGCACTCGGGTTACCTATACCTACCTACGACAGTACAAAGTGAAAAAGGGCAGATTGAAATACGCACTGGTGCCTTTGTAAGGAAGGGTTTAAGAAGTAAGAACATTCGGGAAATTGCATTATTAATTTCGTAGACTTGTGAGTTTTGTAAAGGAGAAACACGCTATGGGTCAGTACATAAACGTCATAAAGGTATCATGACGCTCCTTGAATTCAGTATAACTATTTAGATCAATGTCTTTCAAGCACTTCGCACACAAACATGTCACATAACTGATTATCTCATTATGTACGGCCAATGAGTGTTTATTTTACTTATTGACTTCTGTTCAGCAGGATGCTTCATATATTAAATGAAATTACAATGGTGGGCTGAAACTCGCTACTCACAGTCCACAAGTGCATGTGGACGTGTGGGCATTAGTTTGCCGTGAGATCCGTTTGTCACTCCACAATAAACTGTCGTGGTTATAAAGCGAGTCACACGGCAATGTCGCCACTCAATGTATGACTCGTTGGTCAACAGAACAGCTCGGTGACAATTAGAGCCGTCATCGTATACATCAGTGCCCCAACGGGTGCGGCCGCTGCAAGCAGCTTTCGGCATGCCATTGCAGCGCACTTGCATGTCAACGGCGTGCAAATCTAAGAGTTTATGAAAGCGCGGGTACTCGCGTTTGGCATTATTTGTGCATGCATGTCATTGTTTATTGATATAACACATGATCCTTATGTGTGTTGAGGTGACCACTAGGTAGTGTTCTCAATTAACCTTTTCAAAATAAACGTCAACTGTTAACCCTCGCCCATGTAGGGGGGGGTTGGTGCAACCCCCCCCCCCCTGAGGCTTTTCGGAAATAGTGTAAAAACGGCGGCGCGCAGCGCCGCCAAATTTTGGGTACCTTATGGGGCAAACCTTGCGCATCTTTTGATAAAAAAAAATTGACCGGGTCATGTCAGGTCACGGAGTTATGACATCACAAAGGGAACAGCCTCCGGCCGGATTTTCACAAACTGAGTGCCAACGCCCGAGGTTTCCTGCCGGTGGTACGGACATCGGTTGATGGATCGTGATGAAACTTCCCATGCATGTTGGGGCAAGTATTGGCTATCATATGGTATAAGAAACTTGACCGGGTCAGGTCAGGTCACGGAGCTATGACGTCACAAGAGGAACAGCGTCCGGTACCATTTTTGAAAAGCGCCCGAACCACTATTTTCCTAATTCTTGTCACCTCAATGGGAATATGCAGCAATATTAGCTTCTATAGGGAGCAAATGGACCTCCCAAATCCAAAAATACAATCAGATTTCAAAAATTTAAATTCTGATTTTTCGAGTTTCTGCCGCCGACTGTGACCTTGCCGACTTCCGGCGCTCCCAACGCGCCATTTTTAGAGCTAGGGAAACGAAATACATACCAAACGATAGAGAATTGATCAAGGAACACGATAGTGAAGATTTCAAGTCGATATCTCCCACCGTTTTGCCGCAATCGCCGCGGAAAGTTGAAAAAGTCTATTTTTCCGAAAATTTGACCTTTGACCGGTCAAAAGTAGGTCAAATGTTGACCTAGGACCAAAAAATATACCACCAATCGCGAGATCTCGGCGAGAGCAGCAATCCGTTGGTCTTTTCCGCTAAGCTCTACGACGCTCCGTTTTCAAACGCCAAGGGGGGGGGTCGCACCAACCCCCCCCCCCCCCTGCATGGGCGAAGGTGGCAGATCGCCGTTTACGGGCGAGGGTTAAAAGGAAAGTCGTGTCGTTGCACTTTGAATATGCACCCAGAAGCCTGGTTCGTGTACCTATGCATATTCAAATATCGGTTACGTCAAGACGTATGAGCAGGAAAACGTTTCACGGCGGAGCACATTGCAAGTGGGCTACCGGCTAATGAATCTCGACTTCCGCCACACAATAAGCGCAATACTAAGTAGGTACACTACATGCCTAAAGCAAATTGTGAATAGTTAGAGGGTAAACAGCTCGTAGAGGCGTAGTCAATAAAGTGAAAACTGGCTTTCTATAGTCGACATGAACATTGAAGAGGGCTGGTTTCCGCACATGAAAAATTTGCTCGAGAGTTATCTGCACCCATGAGCTATTGACAGGAAATTCGCAAAACCCCTGATCAATAGTGACAGCTACCGAAACTATGTTGAAAGCGTCTATGATTTCTTGTAGCACTTCACAGAACTGAACGGGAAATTGAGCGTCAACATATTGCCATTTTTTCAGCCCTCAATCTCCTGAATGTCCCGTTATCGACGGTATTTGTTTCCGAAACGAGCGAATGATAATGCAGCCCTCCATCGTTTTCAATTTAACCGCGTCGTTCCAAAAGCGGAGCGATGTGGTGCGCCGTGAGCGATATGGTATGAATATGTCACAACACGGTCACATTGCCTGGGTATAGTATGGCGGTTCGCACTTCCCTCACTGGGTGCGACAGCTCTCGGGTCGTGTGAACCGGGCCTTACCTCGAGCGTGGTCCGCCGCCAGCAGCAGTACGATCAGGATCCACAGGCAGCTCCCTGACAGGGCCGCCGCCCGCCGCCCCATCAGTCCTCCCACAGGGTTTTCGGTCAGTCCGACCACCGGCGGGCACACTGGCAATGTGACGGTCCCAGTCCGGCGCACCAGCTGTCAAACTGCCGAACACGGCCCGCGCCGTGACCCGCTCTCACAGCCGTTCGTACCGCAGTACCGCAGCCGCAGGGATCATACGCCACAGTCCGCGGGCGAAAGACACACGTGGTTGTGGATCAGAGTTCGGCACGACTAGACTCACCCCCACCACGCGCACGGCCGGCCGCCGACTGCCGCGCTCCACACCGGTCGCTCGCCACACCGGTGCTCGCCGCCGCCTACTGACATCTGGCGGCCAGCTATGAAGCTACTTCTCGTCCGCCAAATGCTTGACGAAGTCTCGGATTACAAGACGGATTACCGATTATGTGATCCGTGACGAAGTCACTGCTTGTGACAGCCTAGTGGTTTGTTTCAATTTTTCAAAGCAATATGTAAGCTGTGACAAATATGCAAATTTCTACCTTATGTGCTGTTAGAAAATTTGGCATACCTACACAGGTAAGTATTATAGGTATGTACAGGGACCCGCAGTTGCTTCTGTACACACTAGTATTTCAGCGTATTCTTGGCCTGTGACACCGTTGCAGGCGAATTGGGAAATGATTGTGTGCTTATTAAAACCACCATCTGAAGGGCTTTAAACTGATGTGCTGCTCTCCTAATTCAGTGAACTTTTTATGGCTATATCAGCAAAACATTGTTTTCAGCGCTTTTTCCTGCCCCATTCCTTCTGAAACCTGGAACCGCCTATTCCATTCACTCCTGCCATCTGACGATGGTCGTGCTGATTACTAGTTCCGGCGCTAGTAACTGCTCCAGCTTTGCACCCGGCACAAACTCAGGCGGCACCGGGCCGTGGCTCGACCAGTGAGGGTCGGACCGAGCCGACTGCCTGGGGCGCGGTTAGATCGGACGCCCTGTTGGGGAAGGGGACGGGAGTGAGGGGGAGGGGAGGAGGTGGTCACGTGGTCCGTCCAAGCTCGCAGACGACCTGTCCCGCGCCCAGCCATGTTCCGTGATCCAAAATCGCACGAGAGCTGTAGAATGCTTGGAGTAGACGCTTCGAAAGCGAACTTCAGCAGCACTAATTTACCATATTCTGCGGAGATAAATGAATATTATCTTAACGCAGAAAAAATGTATGCCTTAGCTGTATAAGCTGTATCCTTTTAAAAGCCGTAAATAGGATTATATTTAGGGACTTATAGGTTTCGTATACACATTGAATTGTGTTACATTAAGCCGTTTCGCTCTTATGGTTACTAACTGAAGAGTTATCCTTTTTTCTCACAGGGAATGACAATACAATAACAATACGAATAAAACCAGACGTTTCCCACACCAAAAGTGCCTCCGTCAGTGGCAAGAAACTAGGGTTACCCGCGTGCTCCGCAACGCGAAGGGGGGATTTTTTGACCCTTGGGTATTGGGTTGGTCTGTGTCGATTTGGTTGGTAGATATCCATTTCGTTCGATTGCTTTTTGACGGCCAAGCATTTTGTAAGAAACAAAAAGATACATCGCATCGAGGTGCCCGTGTCGTATTATCATGCGTTCTACTTTAGAATGATTCGAAAACTGGCGTGAAGTCTTTTGAGGGCCATCGATGAATTTCGCTAAAAATGACGATGCAATGGTTTGGAAAATTTACGTTTTTAAGAATACTGTTGCTCATCATGCAAAAATGAAGACTTAACCTTGGTCAGAATTGAATGCTCTTTCCAACGGTGCCATTTTTGATTGCCAGATACATCAGATCATGGAGCAAAGCCATTTTGATGAGCAAAGTGACACAAAATTGACAAACACCATTTTCTCCCGTGATTTGTACCACCTTGATTTGGATCAATCAGCTTTTCACAATTTTTATATGATAGGCGGTACATTTCTCTTGCCAACAGGCGTTGTTCCAACTCGCCCTGTTTAACGGTCACCTAAAAATAAAATCAATTCCAAAATCCGCCAAAAACCGCAATTTTTCAACAAAAGTGCCCTCCCCGGTGCACGTGGCGCGTGCTATCCTCTGTATCGCACACGATTCCATTGCCCATTCAATTATCTACACGATGCTGTTTTCCCCGTGCCGGTCGGACCCCTGGTCACCAAGATATTGCACGGGAACTGGACCCGTGTCGGCCAAAATTAGCCGTTTTCGCCCGATTTCGCACGCCGATTTATACATGTAAAGTCTATGACGCGAATTTGCACTTTTTGAGCACGCGCCACGCGCTCCCTATCAATCCGATCAAGCTGAGACCCCTCAAAGGCACGTCGCGCATCCTTGATCTATAAGTTGTGCAAATTTCACCGGGATAGGTGCAACGGTCTGGCCTGTAGTCCACGCAAAGCACGACCAAGTCGGGACCTCGGTAACGGACAGACGCACCCTCCTCAAATAGTAATATAGATTGATGTTAAACCTACACTTATTTTTCTCCACTGACGAAGGCACGTTGTTGTCCGAAACGTTTGGTTTTATTCGCATTGTTTTTATATTGTCATTGTCCGTGAGAAAAACATACTCATATGGACTGGTCTCAGTTCATGTAGAAATTGTTGAACATTCATCAACACAGATAAAATGAACATTAACCCTCACCGCACACAGTGGCGGCGGATTCGATTTTGGCGTGGGGGGGCAAGATCCCAGTCGAGATGATGTCATAGGCGGATCCAGAAAGGCGTTTTCGACGCTGTAAGGGACATACCCCCCCAAAAAAGTGTCCAAAATCCAAAAACTCCTCGGATTTCGATTCCTTACGGACTTACTGCTGAACAGCACAAAGCAAAAAAAAAAAATCCTGATAAAAGTGTTATTATTAGGAAACATATTTGTCTATTTCGGGCGATGCAGGGGCCAGGGGAGGGGGAGTAAATATTTGCTTTAAATGCCCGCTCCCTGGATCCGCCAGTGGACGATGTAACGCTTTTCGTATTGCTGTATTAGAAAAAAGCTCCAATGGGAAAAATTGTGCCATAACCCGATCGCATATCAGATGTTGAAGAACGGTGCCAAACCTTTTGAAGTAGGCGCGCGCTATTCTTTGCAATGAGGTAACTCGTTACCATTTCCTCTGTTCATTTTACGTTCGATTTCCATTTAACCTTCCTTTAAAAAGTATTTTTGAGACAGATATCAACTGAAACTAGCTCACAGCGGGAGGAGACCGCTCAAACATTCAAAGACAGTCGGTCGCATCTAAACATATTGGGACAGCGATCCGCCAGAAACCCTCCCCAAGGCAGTAGTTCACCAAATAAGCTCACCGAGACGGGCTGTCTCGATGGGTTTATACAGTAAGCCTACAGCAAGGCTTAACTAAGGCCCAAACGCTCGTCAAGCTGGGAACGGAGGGTGAGGGAGCGCGGCGGCGGGCTGAGGTGAAGGAACGGTGGACTGGAACGGGAATCCAAAAGCTCTGGGCGGGGCGTTTCTTAATTAGGGCTTTAGGGTGTGCTGACTGCGGTAAGGTCCAAATTATCACACCAAATTTTGCCACGACATCTACCGGTTCAGGCACTCGAGAATCAGTGGCCAGTGATATCTGCAAAGACGAAGCATTTCCAACCCAGCTTCAGCATGGTGTCAGGGCGCCTCAGGTGGCTTTAATTACAGTTGCACATACCAAACGACCTTAGTGCAGCCAGTCTGTGGCCGAAACCATTCGGAACAGACTTCAACGAAAAGTGAGACAAGGTTAGTGCTATCGTTAAGTGCCATTATAGACTTGGGCCCTGTTGGCTTGACCCACTGGAAGGTGGTAGCTATCCGACGCTGCGGGGCATACTCATTTTTCCAAAATGCCTTAGATTTTGCTTTCGTGTTCATAGGCGGTGGAACGGGGAGGGCACCGGGGCTCCGTGCCCCCTTTGATTTTGGCATTTTAACGTTAGCCCTATGGGCGTTGCATGGAAAGAATGGGACCAAAAGTCGGCAGTGCCCCCCCCCCCCCCAATTGAAGGTGTTCCGCCGCTACTGTTCGTGTTTGATGCTCTTTATTCTATAGCCAGCCTTTAGACAGAGGGGGGAGGGGCACTAATGATCAGTGCCCTAACCCTCAAAAGTTTGCATCATTAATTTTTACTTTTTTAATAGTGAAAACTGAAATAAAGCGGATACTGAACTGTGGACATCCAGTTTTAACACTGGCCCCACACAAGCCTCCGAATACCCAAAGCAGATCTATGATGACTGGCCTTTGGGTGCCATACCATACCATGTATTGGTCAATGTGGTCAATGCGTACGACCGTGGCTTATTATGAGCGCTCATCAGTCCTAACTACCCGCAAGCGAATGGCTAGCCCTTCCGTCTCCGCTCGCTTGCGATTTGGCATTTATGTAGGTACAAAATAGCGGCAAACGACCACTGAAGGTATGAGTTGCGTCTCTTGCACACTTAAAATATCTCTAAATCGAATCTAAAAAGACAAAAAATGATATAAAGCGGAAATGGTTAGCATTTACACATATTCAAAAGGCACCGTTGGACAAACTGTAGGAGCGCATAGCTGCAATATCAGGTTATGGAAATTTTCCCCATGTTTAGGGCACAAATTATGGAGGGGCAAGAATATACGTTTGCCCCTCCTCCAAAAGTTTCTTAGGGGACGATGCCTCCTCTGCCACCCCGTATCTGTCGCCCCTGTAAGCGGTCACTGAAGGCCTGGGTTGCCGCTGCGTCACGTTGACGCTTATAATGCCTCCAAAACTAGGTTGAAGAGAGGAAAACTTCAATTGAACGCGAACGCTTGCCATTTAACCCGCGCGGGGCTGGGGGGTAAATTTTATCCCCTCGCGAATTTTTGCGATATCTCAAAAACGGCGGCGCGCAGCGCCGCCAAACTTTCAGTACCTTTTCTAACATCAATTTGACACGTTCCCTGAAAATTTGAGCGAAATCCGTCGGAACATTTTTGAGAAATTGACGTTTTAGTGACGTCATGTTCGCCATTTTCGCCTCAAAAACGGCAAAAGTTCAAACGCCGCTAACATCTTCATTTTTAAAGGAATCAAGACGTAACAAAAAAAGGTTAGACGTAAGTTTACTTTGTCTATCAAATGGCTATCTCGGTTTTTTGAAAATTTTGGATTTTGGCCTAAATTTTTTCAAAAAACTGACTTTTTGGGAAAATCATTATAAAATCCAAAATGTTGAGTCTATCGAAAAAACCAGAATATATGTCAGAGAAGTGGTCTATGTGCACCTACATAGCAAATTTTAGAAGAATCGGTTCAAAAATGTGGGA